GAAAGGGGGTTTGGATAGGTTTATTGTAAATGAAGTACTTAGTACTACTTAGTACTACTACCTACTATTTGCTTTTTTGAGGTCCGTGAAGGCAGGGGCTGTGCGCAACACTCGCGCGAAGACGCGCAGGGTCAGTGGCTTCAATGCTTTTCAGAAGGCGCACAAGTAACCCGGCCTCGACAAGGGGCTTGCACTTCGTCGTTAAGTCGCTACTTAGGACTAGGACTTAGGTAACTTAGGTAGGGATGAAGAACCGTAGTTTTGGTTGGTTCGAGAGTTCGAGGCACCACTTCAAGCAGTCGCGATTGGGCACCGCCGAGAATCGACAGGAGACCAGGAACCTGGGGGAGATCTGGCGCAACATGCCGGCCGAAGCCCGCGCACGGTACGAGGAACAGGCTCGAGAGCTCCAATCTGCGCGGGATGACTTGAAGGGTAAGTGTCTATCGAAAACAGCATCGGCCGAAGCAGAAGCTGCAGATACTGGGATCCTGAGCACGGCTCAGGTGAAAAGGCTCAACGGCTTCAGGTTGGACAAGACATTGTCCCAGGTGTCGGAGCACCGGGTGTGGCAGGCTGGTCTAGGGATTGCCGATCATGTGGCTGCTCTGAAGGCAAGCCTCGTCATTCCAGTGCCAGATGCCGCTGCGATGCGAGGGATTAAGCGTCAATACGAGGAAGCTTTCTCGTATGATTCACAGATCGTGCCGAACCCTCCTACGATGCCCAAGTTCAGCCGCCCCTGCTGTACTCTCCAGGCTGGTACTTGTCAGTGCGACCCTTGTTTTGCTGTGATGCAGCGATTCGTGAAGGAATTCCATGAGCAGCTGATCGCTCAGCGACTTGGGGGCAGCCCGAGCCTTGTGCAACTCACACCGAGCAACGATGCCTCGATGTGGCTGATTGTCTGCACTGTGGCACTGCGGCCTCAGTGCCACGTTGTCGCCCATTTGCACTCCTTGGGCGGTTCCTTGTACTTGACAATGCAGAACGGCAGCATTTCTATGGGAACAATGCATCGGGTCATGCGCAGGATGCTACAGGCAGCTTCCCGAGGGGGTGTGCCGCTAGATGAATTCACCTGCACTGTGGCCGTGGCTATTAATGAAAGTTTTCATATTAAAGTAAGCTAAGGGCCTATGGAGTGTTTGTGTTGATTTATATATTTATATACTTAGCACTTAGTCTTAGTACTTAGTACTTAGTACTACTACTACTTAGTACTAAGTACTAAGTACTAAGTACTAGGCAGTAACTCAGTACTTAGTGACTTAGTGATGATTTATCACATAGTCATATAATTTAAATTTCAGTTTAAGTTTAAGTTTAAGTGTCAGTCTGAGTCTCAGTCTAAGTGTCCAAGTACAAGGTTCGCCTTTATGGTGCTTCAGAGATGGCGGACTCACAGGAGATGCAGTTTCTCCAGCCTGATGAGGAGGAGGCATTGTCGGAACATGTGCTCAGTGCAGGCAACCAGCCAGGACTCCCAGGACCGCGACGCGCGCCGGCGGCACCTGCCGGTGGTTGTCGTTTGCCTTTTGGATTGGTAGCCAGCAGGACCCAGTATTGGATGTCAAATACAAATATAAAACATAAATATAAACTCACGCTAAACCCTAAACCTTAAACCCTAAACCCTAAACCCTAAACCCTAAACCCTAAACCCTAAACCCTAAACTAACTTAACTTAGCCTGTACAGCCACAGGACGACGAGGGCTCGCAAACCCACGAGCGAGAGCAAGGTGGACAAGGGCAGGGATGCCGAGACGGAAGGGGCTTCCTCTGCGCCTTCGGGCGAGACTGCAGTTGCACAGTCACTTGGGTGAGCCAGTGTTCTCTGACTCTTTCCAGGTGTCAAAAACAAAGTCAACTAGTTTAAGTAATTCCAAGAAAAGAATATGGTTGATGCAGCAACATTTATGCATTGTAATAGTATCAATCATCGTATTTATATAATTTGTTTTATATATTATATTGCCAATTTCAGATAGATAGATAATAGTAGATAGAAGATAGAATAATATGGTTTTCTAAACGGGCATAGATTTGTAGATGACTCTTCAGCACTAAGGCAGACGGTGGACAAGGAAGAGCCCGAGCTTTTGTCTTCAGTGGTCGAGGGCACTTGCCTGCTAAGTCCAGGTGCACAAGCTGAACTGGAGATGGCCATGCAGCTGCAACGGCACTGGGATGCCAGCCAAGATCCTGAGGATGATGCTCGCACGTCTAAAAGCAGATCGTGTGCAAGCTTGGATCCAGATGCTGCACCTGCTGGAAGCCGTGCGCGGCCACGGCCAGAGCCATCTACGGCTGAGCCAGCGCCTAGATTTAATATTTATGATTCATGGTTTATAATTTATAATGTATAATTTATAATATTTATAAGTAGTATAAGTTATAGTTATAAGTTATAAGTTATAATAAGTTGTTATAATTAGTTATTATTATAAGTATAAGTAAGTTTTATAGTAATAGTAATTAGTAATATAATATAAGTTAAGTAGTAACAGTAAAAGTATACTCTGCAGGAGTTCGTAGTCCATGAAACATTGCTCAAGGTGAGTGGCCCCGGTATTTTCCAGGCCCGATTGGGCATCCTCAGCGTGGGCCGGGTACAACGCCCGAATGTGAGCTGCTACTTTTGTCAGAGCAAGCTAGCAAAGGGTTCCTTGCGTTTCGAGTACGCATACAAGCTGAACAAGCCTCCGCAGAGTATCCACGCAAGCTGTTTGGCGCAAATCCCTGATGATCAGTTGTCGGTCTCCATAGGGACACTGGGGTATGCAATTGGTTCGCAGCCGCTGTCGTCAGTTGACAGGTATTCATGTGAAAGAGCTCTGGATGAGCTGAGCTCTCGGTTGTAATGCAAGCGGCAGCTGCGTGACTCCAGCAGCTGCCATTGCTGTTGGGCCACAGCGCCGAAGTGTTTGATTCAATGAGTCAGTGTCAGCGAATTTATGATCCAGTGGGCCACTTCCTTGGCTTGCGCTCTTCTGTGTAGGGTGTAGGCGTGTACTATAGGCCACACAAGCCCCCTAGCTGGGCACCCTGCTTGCGTCGAAGCGCCGTGGTGACATGATGATATCAATTAATGATATCCATACATTTTCAGTATGGGTTCCGTGTGCGGTGTTATCACTGTTATCACAGTTGTCACTGTCATCGTTGTCACTGTCATCAGTGTTATTCAGTTTGCAGGCGAGCAAGAGGGTCTAGCAATTTCGATGTTCCAGCAAGTTGCGCACCGAGCTGCGAGGGAACACTGCACGCAGAAATGGCGGCATTTGCAAGTGGAGGGTGCATGTACTCATGTACTGATGCGGTGAGTCCTGTGTTCTAAGCCGTTTGTGTTGCTGCCAGACTCCTCTTGACTATATCCTGAACGGTGTGCTGCAGATCAACGGGCACGAGGAGCGCATAGGCTTGCATCACATCCCGGGCTACAAGACCGAGGTCCACAGCCTGCGGACACCAAGCTAATTCAAGCTGTTATCAGGTATGGTATGGTCCGGTATGGTATGGTCTGGTATTGTCCTGTGTCCAGCCTATTCAATGCATACATGTCGTGATTCATGATGCAGCTTCTGACTTGATTACTATTCAAGTTACATTAGCCAGCTCCGTTGCAAATAAGGAGTATTGACTTCGGCCTCCCACAGGCACGCCCGAGATTATATTTTGTGCTTCTGCGAGAAGATGTTCTCTCACGAGCACCCAACGCTCACGTTGCACAGACCGCAATCATCAGTGATCAGTGGATCAGTAGAGCACTGTCTAGTCTAGTTTTCCGGTAGCGACGTTGCAGCAGCACGGCCAAGGAGCAAATCAAGATGATGCTGGGCACTTTTCGGTCTGTTTTCCGGAGGCCAGCGACTATGGCCGAACTTTTCCACTACACAGATCATGCACAGCACGACTGGGAAGACGTGCCCCAGGCCAGGCAGTCTTACTGAGTCTTACTAGCGCTGTCAGCCGGCAGATTGATTGAGCTGCTACCAATTATTCAGTCAGAATTATTCAATTATTCAATTCAACTAGCTCAGCTGGCTCCGCTAAGGATGTGGAGCTTGTCGCTCATCTCAGTCAGCCTGCCTCGGAACCTCTACCGGCGCAACTTGGCGCAATTAATTGCGCTACAGCAGAGCCAGTGTATACAACGCATTTCTAATTTCTAATGACTCATGAGTCAGTCTGGACCAGTCTAGTCCAGTCTAGTCGTGGCAGTCGTGGTGGTTCAGGTTCTGATGTCTTGTGAGCGACCCCATGCAATCCCGCCGCAGGTTTCAAGCAGGTCAGTCAGCCACTCCATGAAGTTCCATGATGGTCCATAACATAACTTCCGAAACGTAACATTCGTCTAACTTTATAGCTAGGTGTCACCTGGTATGTGGTATGGTATGGGCCATCACGATACTGTAGTGCCTTACTGTACTGCTGCCAATGGCACGACCGCCCCCACGCAGGTACACACGCCGTTTTCGCTCAGGCATGATTTTTAGCTTGTGGGTATATGTGCGGCTGAAGGCTGTAGCTCGCGAGGCTAACGAAGCCGATGATGAAGTGGATAAGCTGCGAGCCATATTCGCGAAAGTGAGCTGGAAGGTCTGTGAATTATGCCCACACTGCGGAAATGCCGTGAGCGCGATTATTGCTAACGGTCTGAAGTAGGCCGGGGGCCGGTGTGTCAGTTGAGATTGAGATACCAAGCCCTTTGCATTCGGGCTGGCCACGGAGCTCTACACTCTTGCGCAGAGTCTTCGGTGCAATGTGGTGAGCTGGGGATTCATGGATAATAATAATAATAAGTCTGATACTAATGACAATATCAACTTCATAACAAATAGTAAATAGTATAATTTATAATTTTATAAAAATAAAAACAATAACAATAAATTAAATAATAGGTGTGCACGATGGTCGGCGGCCGGTCTCATTTAGATGTATCTTAGATTTAGATTATGATTCATTATAGAATTTAGATTAGCTTCCGATGCTTGTGACTTTAGAATTATAGACTTTGAGACTTGAGAATCTATGTACATATTAATTTGTATTATAATATAATATATGACTAGAGCGTTATTTTGATTTTCATAATTTTTCAACATCTTAACATCTCTGCTGTTTTTTGTTTGCAGATCCCAATACATTATAAATTATAAATACATTATGAAGTATAAATATAAATACATATTATAAGTTTATAGAAAATAGGCTCTAAATTACTAGAAATTATAAACTTTCCAAATCTAATTTATAATTCTATATTTCAAATTATAAATTATAAACTCATGCTTTTACTAGTACATTTATGAACTTATCAAGTATTTAATTTAAAACTATATATAATTTTATAATATATATATATATAAATTATATATATATATATGCTTTATATTTATATTATATAAATATAAGTTATATATGATATACCATAGATATAAAAAATAAAAGTATACTATAATACAAATTGTAAACAAAATGCTGCTGCTGCTGCTGCTGCTGCTGCTGCTGCTGCTGCTGCTGCTGCTGCTGCTGCTGCTGCTGCTACTACTACTACGACGACGAATACTGCTACT